CCTATCATTTGTACCTAGTGTGGACAAAAGCTTTGCCGAAGGGACTTTTTTATGAATTAAAGAAGGGAGGGGGTTGGGTCACCCTATCCCAACTTTGGACCTCAATTAAAAAAGTTCCGTAACTTTACCCACCTGGGTCTTTGGGTCCCGGCAACCTTAGGCAATTGCCTATCATTTGTACCTAGTGTGGACAAAAGCTTTGCCGTAGGGACTTTTTTATGAATTAAAGAAGGGAGGGGGTTGGGTCACCCTACCCCAACTTTGGACCTCAATATAAAAAGTTCCGCAACTTTACCCACCTGGGTCTTTGGGTCCAGGCAACCTTAGGCAATTGCCTATCATTTGTACCTAGTGTGGACAAAAGCTTTGCCGTAGGGACTTTTTTATGAATTAAAGAAGGGAGGGGGTTAGGTTACCCTACCCCAACTTTGGACCTCAATTAAAAAAGTTCCGTAACTTTACCCACCTGGGTCTTTGGGTCCAGGCAACCTTAGGCAATTGCCTATCATTTGTACCTAGTGTGGACAAAAGCTTTGCCGTAGGGACTTTTTTATGAATTAAAGAAGGGAGGGGGTTGGGTCACCCTACCCCAACTTTGGACCTCAATTAAAAAAGTTCCGTAACTTTACCCACCTGGGTCTTTGGGTCCAGGCAACCTTAGGCAATTGCCTATCATTTGTACCTAGTGTGGACAAAAGCTTTGCCGTAGGGACTTTTTTATGAACTAAAGAAGGGAGGGGGTTGGGTCACCCTACCCCAACTTTGGACCTCAATTAAAAAAGTTCCGTAACTTTACCCACCTGGGTCTTTAGGTCCAGGTAACCTTAGGCAATTGCCTATCATTTGTACCTAGTGTGGACAAAAGCTTTGCCGTAGGGACTTTTTTATGAATTAAAGAAGGGAGGGGGTTGGGTCACCCTACCCCAACTTTGGACCTCAATTAAAAAAGTTCCGTAACTTTACCCACCTGGGTCTTTGGGTCCAGGCAACCTTAGGCAAATGCCTATCATTTGTACCTAGTGTGGACAAAAGCTTTGCCGTAGGGACTTTTTTATGAATTAAAGAAGGGAGGGGGTTGGGTCACCCTACCCCAACTTTGGACCTCAATTAAAAAAGTTCCGTAACTTTACCCACCGGGTCTTTGGGTCCAGGCAACCTTAGGCAATTGCCTATCATTTGTACCTAGTGTGGACAAAAGCTTTGCCGTAGGGACTTTTTTATGAATTAAAGAAGGGAGGGGGTTGGATCACCCTACCCCAACTTTGGACCTCAATTAAAAAAGTTCCGTAACTTTACCCACCTGGGTCTTTGGGTCCAGTCAACCTTAGGCAATTGCCTATCATTTGTACCTAGTGTGGACAAAAGCTTTGCCGTAGGGACTTTTTTATGAATTAAAATTAGGTGGGGTAGGGTCACCCTACCCCAACTTTGGACCTCAATGAAATAAGTTCCGTAACTTAAATCACCTGGGTCTTTGGGTCCAGGCAACCTTAGGCAATTGTTTATCATTTGTACCTAGTGTGGACAAAAGCTTTGCCGTAGGGACTTTTTTATGAATTAAAATTGGATGGTGGTAGGGTCACCCTACCCCAACTTTGGACCTCAATTAAAAAAGTTCCGTAACTTTACCCACCTGGGTCTTTGGGTCCAGGCAACCTTAGGCAATTGCCTATCATTTGTACCTAGTGTGGACAAAAGCTTTGCCGTGGGGACTTTTTTATGATTTAAAATTGGGTGGTGGTAGGGTCACCCTACCCCAACTATGGACCAAAATCTGTATGTCGATTCTTTTCTCGTTCTATTTGGGTGCCTCTCTTACACTTATCACTCTTCCTATCGAAATATAGTAAATACATTACCAGAGTGACGACATACTTTTGAATAATTAGAAAAATGAACTAGTTCTTTGACAAAAGAAGATAACTGCGTATAATGCTTTTATTTCTAAAGAAAATCTAACAAAAAAGACTGGACGTTCCAAAATCAGATGATTTATTTTTCTTTTCTTTTCAAACGCATATGTAAAGTAGAAGATTTATTTGTATCGTTACATGTACACTAGTTTAGTGTGAACTATTGTTATTAATTGTTTCATTATTATAAAAACAACAAACCCATCTCTAATCAGAGAGCACTAAAAAGAGAAAGGATTACCTAATAGGAATTTTAGATGTCCGGTTAAAAAACAGTTGTATTAGATACACGAATAACTAATTAACTTTGTCTGTGTTAAAATGGAATTGCATTTCGTTCTCCTACTGGAAATTAGTGTTATTAGAATTAAAAGGACGTTTTGTGTTATTGCAAGTCTTCGGTTTTTAGGCATGATCATGTTGGCGCGTTTTCTTATTGTTCGCTGGCTTATTGTTCGCTAGCTTGATGCATCTTATTGTTCGCTGGCTTAGTGTTCGCTAGCTTGAGTCTGGTTATGGACTGTTGTGTTTGGTTCGTTTTTCTTTTTGACTATAGTATTGTCTGTTTTCATAGACTGTATGTTTTGATTGCTCTCTTGGTATCTTCTCCGTTTTGTCAATCTATAAACTGTGAAATTATTTATTAGTGTTGATAAACCCTTGAAATAAAAAGAAAAACGTAAATATCTAAACAAAACATTTCACCATGGTCAAAACGATAAAAAAAAACTCTAATCCTACTGAAACTAATTTGAAAGATGTGAAACATGCTAATTGCATAAAATTGGTGGAAGCACTCAAAAATACTTTGAACTGGTCGGTGAAAGAACATCTTTAAATGTATCTGAATTGATTGACAAGAATATTAATCTAACTTAAATTATATTTTTTAATTTGATATTTCTTAGGTTCATGTGAAAATTCCCCATTGTGTCATAAGTATTTATATAATATTAAACGAAAGGGCGGGCATGCTTGGTACTCAAATTCAATTTAGTGTTCTATTAAAATATAACAATATGATCTACCACAAACTAAATCATCACCACTGCGTGATATTCATTATTTAATGACCATATGAACAAATTTTGCTACCCGTAATCCTTTGAAGTACGTGTTAATCTGATGTAAATCTATCTTTATGTCAAAATATATTGCAAGGTTTCGTATCAAATGTAGAGGTTTCTATCACTTTTTAAATCTTTTTATATTCAACAAAACCATTAAGATCATATTTCAATGAAATCAATTTGTTGAGTATACAGCTAAATCATTGTTGTATGTTTTCACAATAAAAACAGGATATGTATTGTTTGCAGTGTGTATCATATGCACTAGATAAAATTTACTTTTTTGAGATAAAAATAAAAATACATACATAACATGCATGTTTACGTTGGGTGGTGTCATGGGAAATTTACAAAATTTGGTGACTATGTTGAACGAATTTATCCCATCGAACTAGAGATAAAGGATACTACATATACAGTTAAGTCTGCCTCATATCTTGACTTACATCTAGAAACTGACACTGAGGGTCGGTTGAAAACAAAACATTACGACAAAAGAGATCATTTCAGCTTCCCAATTGTGAACTTTCCATTTCTATGTAGTAACATTCCAGCAGCGCCTGCATACGGAGTATATATCTCCCAATTGATGCGATATTCCCGGGCTTGTGTTTCCTATCATGATTTCCTTGATAGAGGATTGCTGCTCACAAGGAAGCTATTAAACCAAGAGTTCCAAATGGGGAGGTTGAAATCATCCCTTCGTAAATTTTACGGACGCCCTCACGAGTTGGTTGACCGTTATGGAATAACCGTTTCACATATGATATCGGATATGTTCCTTATGTCGTAACTACAATACCCTCCCTTTTCACGAATGTGACTTACCGAATTAGACTATTTACCGGATTTGTAATAACATAAGCAACACGACGGGTGCCACATGTGGAGCAGGATCTGCTTACCCTTCCGGAGCACCTGAGATCACCCCCAGTTATTGGTGGGGTTCGTGTTGCTTAGTCTTTGGTTTTCTATGTTGTGTCATCTGTACTATTATTTGTCTGTTTGTCTTTTTATTTTTGGCCATGGCGTTGTCAGTTTGTTTTCGATCTATGAGTTTGACTGTCCCTCTGGTATCTTTCGTCCCTCTTTTAGCAATTTTCAAATATTTTTAAGTCTCACAAATATCAAAGTTTGTATTTGCTAGTTCCTTGTAGAGAAAATAGATTAAAAGCAAAAATTATTACCTTGATTCAGCTTGTGTGCAAATTTCAGCTTTGAAAAAGAAAAATTCCAATAAGCCTGCATTACCAAAAAAATCAACTTTACTTTGAACTCCTGTATACATATCATATAAATTAAGGTACACAATTACCTTTTACTGAGGATAAATATTGTATATAAAGTATAGATATGCATTTAAGAAGCAAATCAAAATATCTGTCTTTTAAAATAAGACTCCAGCTAATATTTATTAAAGGTATACATTTAAGCATAATATAAATGGACGTTAAATCAAATTACTAAAACATCGGACATTTTGTCGTGTTACTTTACCGTATTATTTCACTAAATCTAAGGATTCAACTAAAACTTTCAATTTGATTTGAAGGTTTTGCATGCATGTGCATTAAATTATTTAAAGACGTTTAACGTGTTTAGATTACAAAATTTGATACAGAACAACTGTCATGTCTAGTAAATTTCACGTGTTCATTCCGAAATGGATTTAAAACACGTTTAATGGGTCTTTCGTAGAACAAGTAACAAAAAATCTGCAAAGCGAAGTGTTTTTACTTTATTATTGTCCCTAATATCAATCTCATCTATAGGATTATGACTTATTCAAGATGCTTTTTACTCCCTCTTTGGCTAGATTCAAGCAGTAGAGGGTGTTTAAATAATTGTAAACATTAACAACAAATCAGTCACAAATGATAGTTCTCCCGAAGTTGAAGGTGATATTTCGATTTATCAGAATTGGCTACATTAGTTATGCCATATCCTATACCGGTATGCCCTGTTTCAAAATGGTATATCTGATAGTACTATACAATTTGTTGGAAAGTTTCAGAATTTCAATTCAACGAAAAACAGTTTCAATGAAAAATACATAAAAAATATTGATCTTGGTGTTGGACAGTAATTAAAAAGTAATTTGAGATTTAACCAAATATCGGATAATTGATACAGTTTTCCCTTGCAACAGATTGTATATTGTTCGAAGTTGAAATGGTAAGTTTTATTTATTTTATTTTTTTTTTTTTTATTTATTTGAACTAGAATTGTAATATTTGAACAAAACTGTTAAAATTGATAATATTAATAATGTTAGCGCTAAGGGTTGCCGAAAACTTCATTAATCTACAAGCTAAATACAAGATTAATATATCAAAGTCTTGTATGGAATATAAGAATTAAGATATTCTTGTTGCAATAGTTATGTCCAATATTTAGTCCAACTGCGGGTATTTAATTATTGGTAGTGACTTAAAAAGCTTATTCATGATTGATGAATAGTTGACCCAACCATCTTAATTCAATCTCTAGGTTTCGTCTAGATATACCTGCACAAAAAATTCTACATGCCATATGTGTTCAAGTATATTGGTAAAACAACCTCTCTATATATTCTCAGATGTCATGTATTTCTTTTTGACTGTGTGGAAGGCGTTTATCCTTCATCCCCTTATTGTTATTCATAACATATATATGTACCCAGTAGCCAGTTATTGGGAACTTGTCTAAATATATGGATATTGTTTTATTGAATTTGCTGGTATAAAAGTTTATAAATTATTTTGAATTAAGGAATGTATCTCTCTCATTCAAAGCTCTGAAAAAATACCAGCCGAGAAACGGTCAAATTTCTTGAGCAGCTTTGGGAACGTAATATCTTCTTAAACCCGTGTTTGTGCAAATACCCCTCCTCAACATGATAGATCTGTTTTATCACACCGAATATCAAAAGGAATGGTAAAGTTAAACATTTGATTTAGTTCCAGTGTTCTCGCGATATCAAGACGTCAGCAAAAACAGCTGCATTTGACAAAACGCACAAATGATCGTCTCCTTGAATGGTAAAAAGGCATAATCAAGCGCGTATCTTTAGCGGCGGTGAAATATGAACAATATTCTTTGGATAAACTTTGGTATATGAAAATACACTGGCTATCAACCAACCAAAATCAAGCACACTTATATAAGGTTTTATTATTGTCGAAACGCGCATCTGGTTCAGCACAATTGGTACCGTAAAAGTAATTATATATAAAACTACCCTGTAAAAATCCACCATATGTGTTACTAAATTAATTTGAATAGCGACTTGTATCATTTTAATGAACTTGAAAATATTGATGTATCTTTTTTATAGGATGATTTCTTTCTTCTTTTTTTTTTTTGATTAATAGACTTATTGATAAAGGTTATAACTATACAGTTACATTTACTGCTTTTATTTTTCTGGGAATATAAACAATAATTCGCTGATTTCCGGTTTTGCCGGAGAATAAAATGTTTTTATTGTTTTTTCTGTATTGGAATTGTGTACATATTGTTCTGGGCATTGTACTAGATCGTGTCTTCCTGTATTGCCATGATGTTTTTGTATGAAATCTTATTGCCACCGATGTTAGACTTAAGAGTGAAGGACTGCATTGTTTCATGTCAGCAGGTTAACTACCTTACTCTTGCTTTCAGTTGGCCTAACTTGGTACATGCACACAATGTAGTGGTGTTAATCCAGTTTTACTTGCACACAACCATCACCCTCCCCCTTTTTTTCCGCCGTCTTCTTGTATATATATATACCATGTATCTAGAACTAGAACACAAATTTTAAGAAAGCACATTGCAGCTACCAACAAGGTTTGTTAGCATTCTTGGAACGATATGATAATCATTTACTAGTATTATTATTTTGTTTCTGCATTATTTTTTCTTATCTGTTGTACTGATATGCTAGTGCCTTTCTTGTACCGATGTTCATTTGTATGTTCTTTTATGTACTTTAATATAATAATATTTTATTGCATTAATCAAGCAATAGGATTGGACACAAGTTATTACAACTTATATTAAGTCCTCTCCTTACATATACAATACACATATATGATGACAGCAAACACATACATAATATAGCGACAGTTATAGAAAATAAAGGAAGGAGTCAAACATTGGCATGGCAACAAAAAAAGCAAATAGGACAGAAAGAAAAAAGAAAGCTGCTGACTTAGAACGTTGAAATCTTTTTGACTGTTTAATGGAATAACGAACTTTATAAAAAAATTTATAGTTAGTTTCGTAATTATATGCATCTTTTCCAAACAATAGCGTTTCAATATCAATGTGTATTTTCATATTTATAAGACCACTAATCAGAGATATTCTTTGGTTATAATATAATTGGCACTCTAGAAAGTAATGGATGGCATCTTCAACAGGAGAACCGCAGGAGCATTTAGAATCATTCACTTCATTTATCTTATTTAAGTCTGCATTTGATGAACAGCACTGGTGCCTTAGTCTTGTATGCAGTATATTAAATTTTCCCATAATATGTTGGGGGTCTAAATAGTTCACCCTTTATTTTTCGTTTAAATTGTGGGATAGTTGGTGCGTTTCTTATTGTTAGATTTAAATTATTCCATATTCATTCCATATTCTGACAGTAGATGGTACGAATGACTTTTCAGTTATTCGTAGTCTACATCTAGGGGGTATATAATTATCATTATTTCTTAGGTTGTATCTACTGACATCAGATGTAACTGTAGGTAGACAGTTGATTAAATATTGGGGACAAAATTTATTATGCATTTGATAGAAAATTGTTAAATTAAGTTTCCCAGCCCGTTTCAAAATGTAAGGATTCTCAACTTGAAAATTTTGTAAGCCCTGTTACTATCCTTGCAGCTTCCAATTGTATTTTTTCTAGTTTATTAGATTCATATTCAAAACAACCATCCCATTCTTCGCATCCATATTCCAATAGTGGTCTTATAAAAGTGACATAGATATTGGATAAGCTTTTTTTGGAAAGTGTGAATTTTTAGTTTCCGTAGTACAAATACTTGTTTTAATGCAGACTTTGTAATATTATCTATATGGCTGGTCCAGTTTCCATCTGGTGAAAGTGTGACACCTAAATGCTTATGACATTTAACAGTTTCAACGTTTTCACCATTAAATAAAATATTCATTACTGGTGGTTTAACATTTGCAATCACCAATGCTTTGGTTTTCTTTGGATTAAAATCTACCAACCATTTTTGGCCCATTCATTTAAACTAAAAAGGTCTTTAGAATATCACTTTCAATTGTTTGAAAGTTGCTACCAGAATATGAGAGAGAGGGGTGTTGTCTGCAAATAAACGGGCTAGGTTATAAAGATTATCTGTAATGTCATTAATATATAAAAGAAATAATAGAGGACCCAATATAGATCCCTGCGGAACTCCTGCCTTGATTTCGCCTTGATTTGAAGTTTCATTGTTTATAAAAACAACTTGCTGTCTGTTGCTGATATAGTCCTTAAACCAGTCTAATAGTTTACCAGATATTCCACACGAAAGTAGTTTTTGAATAAGGCCTACATGCCAGACTCTATCAAAGGCCTTTGATATATCACAAAATACTATAATGGTAGATAACTTTTTGTCTAGGTTTTGACAAACCCTATGATAGATTTCCAAGAGTTGGTAAATAGTCGAATGGCCTTTGAGAAATCCTGACTGGTATGCATATAATAATGAGTGCTCTAATATATAATTATGAATATGTTTATACACTACTCTTTCCATTACCTTTCCTACAGAACTCAATAAAGATATTGGTCTATAATTTGAAGGATTTGATTTATCCTCTTTTTTAAAAGAAGCCATAACTCTAGCAAGTTTCCATTGTGTTGGGAACTTACCAGCTTGAAGTTAATTATGGAATTGAATCAATAGAGGTTTATAAACAGATTCCGCGGTGCCTTTCAGCATTTGATGGCTGATTAAATCATTACCACATGCTTTGCCTATTTTCAATGTTTTTAGTATACCTTTAATATCTTGCTCAGTTATTACCAGATCAGACAAAGAGAAATTGGTTCTGGGTATCATGGTTAGCATCGTCAACAGATGAAATTGAGCAAAAGTATTCGTTTAAAAGATTTGCTTTGTCTTTTTCATTGTATACCGTTTCGTTTAAATTACTACCAAATAGTGGTGGAATATTATAACTACTATTTGTTCTCTTTAAAAGTTTTTTAATAAGAGACCAATAAGCCTTTGAATCGGTTTTCGACAAGTTCATTGGCACTTAAGAAAAACTGCTCGCGGGCGTATTTTATCATATTATTATCTTTGTTTCGCTGAAATTTGTACTAATAAGAGCATGGTTGGTTTTGATTTTCCTATGCACAGAATAAAGACGATTCCGGTTTCTGATTTCCCTTCTGATTTCCGAATTAAACCAAGGTTTATCGTTAGGTCTGACAAGAATTGCCTTGGGCGATATATTTTTCCGTTTCATCTATTATGTACTTTCTGTTTGTACAATGGTCTAGATTTTTTTTAAAAGTGAGGATCGGGATGAAATAGAAAAAAAAATGGTTTTACCTCGGCATATATTCGTGTGCTTATCCAAATTCTACAACCTCGTCAATAGATGTCCCATGTCATATCTATTTTCCGGATATTTGGATAATTGATGTTGATGAAGATCTTTGATAGATCTGTTTAATTTATTCACAATTGTTTAGACTCAGAAGATTGACACTTTACATAGATAGTTATCGACCGTGCGAAACCCTCATGGGTAGTAAAGATCGTTACACACACCCTAGTAGTAGATTCTTGTTTGTAATTGCTTCGCATCACGGTGCGGAGCTATTAGTTTCAGTCGATATACACGCCATCTTGAAATAATTACCTATCACATATAGATTCTGATTGGTTGCTTTATGATGCAGCTGAGATACAGCAACAGCTATTGGCTTAAATGAGATTAGGAATTACAGACTTTCCCCGTGTCAGGATAAGACATCAAATGCCGGAAAATTAACTATGTGTATTTCAGTTCCGATCAACTGTCATTATTTCATGTTCGTTTTATTATGCATATATTGCACACTGAAATTCAATATTGAAATACATCAATTATTAGTACGTGTTTATTTGCTTTGTTAATCTGCAATATGCACGATTTGTTTTGCTAAACAATGTTCCTATATACAATGTTTACAAAAATGCATTATCTGTATAACTTCTGCCAATCTAGGCACACCTCCAGAGTCGTGTCTATTTGTAAATGTTTTAATTTTCAACAAGTAAAGTGAACAAAATTTTAAAAGCATGGGTGTATAACGCATCTAAACACTGAACAGCCAGTTTAAAATTTCAGAAAAGTTCATCTTAATATATATACAAAAAAATTGATACTCCAAGTCTAAGACATCCATTTTATATCAATCAATACCTAAAAATACCACATTTCCAATACTAAATCAAGTACCACATGCACACATATTTCCTTAAATTAGGATAGAGCGAAGCAGTCCACAGCTTTTTAGAAAGCTCAAACTTGTTTAAAATTGTATGTTTATGTCATTATGACTTATTATTTGTGTCGTTAGGTTTCTGTGTCGTTGATGTAAACATTATTTATTCTTTTATTTTATATTTTTGGATCAATATATTTTACATTTTACATTACTAGTAACAAGAACATGTCATGTGGTACCTAGCAATGTGTTTTTCTCCACAGATGTCTGCTGTTAAAAGTTTATCTCAAGTTACACTCCACTCTACACTAATGCTCATATTTTTATAGACTGTTATCAGAAATATTGGTAATGATAACTTTGGCCGTTAGAGGCAATGGTTTAGGTATGAACATTGAACGATGGAAACTTAAGATGAACGAATATGTGTTAAGATGAATGCCTGTACTAAGTCAGGACTATGACAGTTGTTTTTCCATTCGTTTGACGTGTTTGAGCTTTTGATTTTGCCATTTGATAAGCGACTTTCCTTTTTTAATTTTCCTTGGATTTTGTTTTTATTAATATATTTTTTAGCATTATTATTTCATCGGAAATAAACATCAGGGGGTCACTATAATGCACTAAATAGTAATAGCGGGCTCGTAAGTATGATATTTAACAGTTAATCTATTTTCTTTTTGTCAAATAATATAGGTTATGTGTGTTTTTGCTGATCTTGTTTGGAATCCGAAGAAGAATTGCATTTTGTATGTTAAATCTGCATTAAATCTTGTTGCAAATTATCTACAATGAGTAATTGAAATTTGGTTTTGCAATTGTAGAAAACAACCCGCGTAGTCATTTTTTTCATTGCCATCCTTGTGATTGGTAAATGTCAAGATGATTTCAGTTATCTTGACGAAGACCGAAATGATAACGTTCATGACATATCAGAACGAGAGGAAGAATTTATTAATGAGGATGACCTAAATGACAAAGATGAAAGATCGGAAGACGAATTTGTCGACGAGGAAAGTGATGAAAACCTTGGTGAAATGGAAAGAGAGGAAAGATCTGATGACGAATCTTTAGAGGAGGGAAATGATGAAAATATCGATGACATATCAGAAACCGAAAAGAGAGATGACGAAGAGGAGAAATGTAAGATTCATTTGAAACAGTTTGGATATTAAAACATACAACAGTTTAAAAGTTTTAACACAAAAGTACGATTTGAGAGTAATCGCAGTTACTGAAAGCTAGTCGAAAGCCAAAAACAATTAACTGCACGAATCACCCGCCATGCGAATCCTTTTTTAGGCAAAAATGTCACTATCGGGAATAAAACACACCCAGTATGATTAGCAAGATGGTTAGACAAAAGATAAAATGTGGGAGGAAGGAGGGGGCGATTTTGACTGTCACTAGAAAACAATGGTATGTTGGAAATGGCACAGAAATTTCGCCTTGCAACAGATTACTCCCTGTCTATCAAAGAGTTGTTACAAGGGTTCTTTTCGCAATTATTGTCACAATAATCTATTATGTCTGTTTGAGTTTCTCAACCAATTTTGAAAATAAAACCATGGAGTTCGGTATTTTTGTCAATAATTTTTCATTTCAAGAGCAAAACAAACAATATAATGCGTTTCTCGAACCTTTTTATTACGGAAAATATTTGATAAAAAATGCAAATAGTAATCTAATTATTCAAGCTACTAATGATATTTTTTCGTGTTTTAGTGGCAGATGAGGATGACATCGTCAGACGAGAGACTCTTGAAGAGTTGAGAGTACAAATGAAGGCGGCCAGAGAGGCGTACAGAGAAAAGGTTAAGGCCTGTGGCGTGAAGCATAACTTTGTGCCAATGGAAGAATGCAAAGAATGCAGAGCAGATTGTAGAGGTAATGCTTTATTTCAATAACCCAAATTCACATGTACGTCTTCTTACTTATACAGTATAACACACATTGAAAATGAAATGAACACATTTGCATATCAATGCAAGATAATCGAATGTGTCAGAAGAAGAAAAAATAGAAGTGAATATTAGAATCGGAAAGATGTTGAAATTGTCTTAAATTTGATTTACAGAGTGCACTTATTACACTTAAACAATTTTTCCATACTTTACCTATATATATGCATAAATTCAAAATCTTATTGTTTATACGATGTTATTCCGAATTATATCAAGGGCATCCTTAAACAAATTTTAATTTGTTTCTTGAAGACGAGTCATAGCTATACTTTTGTTAAAATATTGTTGTTGTTGTATTAAATTCATACACAAATTTGGTCAAAATCTTCAAAATAACAGTTTTGAGCTTTTTTTTGTCATTTATAACTTTGTCTTACATTGAAAATGCGTCAAAATGCCGTTAAAGGAGCATTAGCTGTCAAATCAATTTTCACCGGTTTGACTCAAATTCTCATATTTGATGTATAACGTGCTAAGATGTATACTCAAATTACAAAAAGCCCAAAAAGAAACAATGAATGAACTCGATATAATGTATCAGCATTTCGTGTGTATCTTAGACTTAGACGCCATCTAATTAACCATCGAGGTGAACTTCAAAGAATGCTGATTGTCTAATCACCCGATATAAACATAAATATATACATAAATAAACAGACAAGCACCTGCAATCATAAGTTTACCATTTTTCTAGGTCTGTTTGATTTTATGTCATAGATTCAAGAAATGTGTAAATCATCGTTTTACATGTATAAGAATGATTTTTTTTTGTGGGCCGAATTAGTCTACAAAATGGTTATTCCTGGTACCTTCCTTGTTTCAATTTTCAATGTAAACATTAATTTCTTTTCAATAACTGAACATGCGCAACCCATCTCAAGCTAAGGGAGCCACCATTTAATTTTTATGGGGGGGGGGGGGGGGGGGGCTAGGATGAAAAATGTTGTCCTGCATTTTTTTTTAGTTTAAATCTCTGTCCTGCCTTTTTATTTTTCACTCTATTCGGTCCTGCATTTTTTTTTATTAGTTTATCCTGACTTTTTTTACATAAATTGTCATCCTGCCTTTTTTTTTGCCAAGTTGCTCATCCTGCCTTTTTTTTTACTCAAAACTCCTGTCCTGCCTATTTTTTTCAAATTTCATCCTAGCCCCCCCATAAAAATCAAATGGTAGCTCCCTAACTTAAAGGGTGAAATTGAAGGTCGCATAAATACGGATTCAAATGAGGTTGAATTATTGACTTGCAAACATATAATACATTTGCGATATTTGTGAGCTTATTATGACAAAATTGAACCAAACTAACTGATAATAGCGATCCGTTTTTATAAATGTTTGAAGCAAAAAAAAAACTCATACTTTTTGTCTAAATCGTAGTAAATGCTCCTTTAATTAAAACCTTTAAGTACGCACCTGAAGTTGTGATACTGTGGAGTTTGAAAAGATTGACTTTAAAAAACAATTAAATTTTTCTAAAGTACTTGTAAGCATTGATTGTGAAGTATAAACATGCACTTTGACGAAAGATTTTATACTTGGTAAGCTTTGCTTAAATAAGGAAATAAGGGATAATTTTGTTATACATTTTCAGAAACAAGAACATGCAGATCATGCCGACAAATTTGCAGGGATGATAGGAAAGAACTGAAGTCTAAAGGTGAAGTCTATATTTACTACAATTGAAAATACAGTTTTTACTAGGTGGTCAATGACCCTACATAAATATAAAATCAATATCAATATCAAATCATCACAATTAAGTCACATCATCAACATGATTCGCCATGTATTCAAAATAAATAACGAATTGTACTTGCAAAACTGCAAAACGAAAGTCTGCAATTTGTCACTGTCCATGCTTATTAAAACCAGTTAGCTATTTTGGAAACGACTATTCTAGGTAAACGGCATACACTCTTCCATCCTACTCTACGTTTCACACAACAAAAAAATAATGAATTTAATGTTATAAGACTATTTTTGGTCGTGTACAGTCCAATTTTCTGCACTCTAGCAGCACCTTAATAAAGCTAAGATCGAATCAGTGTTTATGACAATTTAGAAGATTGACTTTGTCACCCTATTGAAATTGACGTAAACCATTGTTCTTTTGAGTAAGCCTTCTCATAATTTACCCCAACGACAAATATTGATATATTTTTCTATTCCATTTGTAAAATTAATAATATAAATTACAATTAAATTATATATTTGTATCATTTCTATTTGAAAATGAATTAAAAAAAAGATGCGAGTGTCTGTCATTTCAAGCAATCAAACACCACAAAAATCAAAAGACGTCTATAGGTCAACATACAATATGATAATTCAAGAATACATAGAGCTTTTTTTATTTCAGATTGTGACCTTACGTTTGACAAGACACCACGTAGAAAATATTACGCACAAAGAAGAAAAGAATGGGTAAGGAATTAAAAAAGATGCTGAACTATAACAACGAACATTTTTTAAATGAATTGTCCATTTTATAACAGTCTACTGTAATATTAGTACAACTTTTCCAAATGATGTCTTAGATCTTGGTTTTTTTTTATATCACTTTAAAAAAACCCAATCGATATTGAAAATAAAACTGAGAGTATCCTTTTCTACATTATAGTTGTATACCATAGATTTTGTTTGTTCAACCTTTCTTGAATTAATTAGTCCGTTTAAAAATCTATAAATCATTAAGAAACTAAAATTTTCAACTGTGTTCGGCAAAATTGACCTTATATGGATTTGGCTATTATTTTTATGTCCTTTTTGGTCAAATAGCTCTTCAACTTTTTCGGTCCAATACAATTTATAAAATGTTATTATTAAATTTTTTTTCTATATACTGCTCACGTATATTAAAATGTGATATTTTCTACTGACGTGCATAAAGATATGCAAGATATTACCGTAGATACATAAACAAATCAAAAACAGTTTCCAATTATTCAAAAAGGTTTGTGACAAAAATAATGCAACTCATTTGTTTGAATTACATTTAATTTTTTTTTTTATTACAGTTCAAAAAATCGAACAAGCAAGGCAGATACCGGAATTTTTGGAGGAATATGAGAAACAAGATACTGCGATTGAAGAGTGGAAGAAAAGACTAAAAATATTTTATTAAAAGCCAAAGCTGAAATAAAATTCAGTACGATAGCAAAACTAAATGTGTTTTGTGTTAGTTAATATTACAAAGCTACAGTCCGAGATTTACGAAGCTAAATGGTGTTTGTGTATATGTAATTGTGTTAACAAGAAATACATGATCAATCTTGGTTGCAGCTTTATCAATAACTTTCACTGGTTATTTTGAACTGCATTGGTAACTTGCAAATAACATGGTAGCTTAACTGAACGGCCTAGACACTGGTTTATAAATCGTAGTATGCTTAAATATAACAAAAACAATCATAAGTTTATATAATACTGTTTTTAAAATCAGTCATAAATATCAATAACATCATACTTAAATGCCGCCAGAGCGAGAAAACAATACAGGGACTCCTTTGACGTAAATCGTTGTGTGTAAACATGGATAAACTTGTAGTATTCGTAGTAAAATAGCTCAGGTCACTTGGTCTGGTCATAAATATAAATAAATGGGGTTTCTATTAACCTGGTAAAGGTTATGAGTTGAAGGATCCATAGGTGGGCTCGCTCTGGTTTTGAAACTAGTCTAATTGTTTTAGGTTCAGTGAGCTGTGGACTGCCGTCTGCTACGTCCGTATTTATACCACGGAAATGTGTGGACGAAAAATATTTGGTAATACCTGTTATCCTTTTTATGTATTTATTTTTTATATCTTAGCGTTTTTATCGTTAAAGGAATGAACTGTTAATGAAAGATCTTTAATAGTTTTTGTTAATTGATTTTATCTTTTCTAAACTAAGGATAATCTTAAGCTTGACATTAGTTTTTATAGACCCTTTCCTATTGCTAAAGATAAGATCGCATACTGACCTCTAAATGCATTTGTATCGTGTTTTTTCGTTGCTATGTCATTGACATATACCCTCTATTTACTTTTATCCTTACCTTATTGTGCCTGTCCTAATCTCATGACCTCTTTTGTCGTATTCATTGATTAATACTCCAAAAAGGAGAAAAGACAAAAATATCAGCTCTTCTAAAAAAGATAAGAAGCATTTTAAATACCAATGTCATGGCGATAAAGATATTTCTTTTATCTATTTTTGGTGGTGAATATAAACGAAAACAAAGTTAGTTATCCTGCTGTATATTTGGTCATTGAAGTGATGATTATTCCGTTGGGGAACATTCATCGCTGTTTCGAAAGGTTTATTTGCCAGACCTACATTCAAAATGTTCTATCGTACTATAAACGATGTCAGTGAACCTGTCGTGTGTTTCTGGGATAATTTTCTCCAGATACGTTCGATACCACAAAATTGGAAAGCCAACTAACTTTAGTAGCATAAAAACTAAAAGGACATAAAAAGAACAGCCAACACAGTTTAACGTCAACCTGAAATAAATGCAACCTTATTTCTGTTACGAAATACGAGCTCACCAGTGTTAATGAAGTGTCCAGTGCATCGAAATCGTTATCATATGTTATTACTACCACTGGATCCTGGAGGATACCATTCTTATCAGTTGCCAGCCCTTACTATTATGACTTAAATGGTGAATTAATTATATAATTGTACTAAAACTAAGGTAGCAACTTCATAACTTCACATTATACCTTAACTTAAGTTAAAAGTTAACCGAGGTAACAAACAAAATATGAAAGAATAGCATGAACTCCAAAAGTAGCTATGCTTATACATGACCACCCGCTTTGCGAATCCACAATAGAGAATAGGACCCAATCGGTAAATTAACAGATTAGACGACTATACTGGTATCACAAGATCTAATATCGCACATGTCCTAGTGAATTGCGAAACAGACACATCGTATCGGACAACCAATTCCTGATGGTGACAGTAAAACTTATGCAGTGTCGATACCAATGGTTCTTCATAACTCTGTTGGGGCACTTTTTGTGTGGGGAGCATACTCATGTTAATGAAGTTCGTAAAGTGTGATCATGCACGAGCGTAACGTATCAATTGAGATGTGTAAACCTCCCATGGTGGGGCAGAGGGTCTTTAGACGAGTTTTGTCGAGCTTTCAAATCTTTGGTATCGAGCGTATCTGAATAAGCTTATAGAATATTCGAAAAACACCTGTTGTGCTCAAGAGACTTATTTTCATACGTTGTTTTTTATATATATATATATATACATATAAATAAGAAGATGTGGTATGATTGCCAATGAGATAACTTTCCACAAGAGACCAAATGACACAGAAATTAACAACACCGTACGGCCTTCAACAATGAATAAAACCCATATCGCATAGTCAGCTATAAAAGGCCCCGAAATGACAAATGTAAAACAATTCAAACGAGAAAACTAACGGCCTGATTTATGTACAAAATAATGAACGAAAAACAAGTATGATACTAGTATACAATAACAAACGACAATTACTGAATTACAGGCTCCTGACTTGGGACATGCACATACAGAATGTGGCGGTGTTAAACTTATTTGAAGGCGCCAACCCTCTCCTAACCTGGGACAGTAGTGTAACTAACAGTACACATAAGAACAAACTATACAAATCAGTTCAAAAGGACTTAACTCGTCAGATGGATACAAAGCAGACATACATCTAACAAAAACACAAAGTGGACGTGGCAGGGTACTTATACATCCCCACAACAAAAAGACACTAAGTACAGATCTGAGAGTACTCGCAGTTACTGAAAGCTAGTTTAAAGCCAATAACAACTAATAAAAAAATCATGCATCTAAGACTAAAATATCAATCAGTACACATCCAACATCCAATGGATTTAGAGTAAAGACGTCATTAACCGTCAGAGAAAAAATATGACCTTGTGCAATGCCAAGATACAGGTATCGACAGATTATAGAGCCATGAATGTGCATATGTATATAAAAATAATATTTAGTTTGATTTTAATTTACTGATAACAAAAACAATATTAATACCAATAAATACAATATTCAAATTTCTAATTATAGTGTTGAATTGGTAACCTTTTAGAATAAGTTTATTTAAAGGATCGATAAGTTTACCTGAATCGTATCTAAATTTCCGGGCTCAGTAAACAGCATCTCCGTAAGAATAATGAAGTGCCCTTCCGTTTGATATAAGTTTATAAGTAATACAACCAAACTTCCAAACCAAATCTTTATATCTATGAAAGAATTTAGTAAACGGCCTAGCCACAATCAGATGTACATTTCATACTAGGTCTATGTTATAGGCTTCTATAGACAAGATGGTGAACTTAATTTAAGTATTACATCTTTGAACTGAAGGAAAGAATATAGGGCTTCACAATGCATATCAAATATCATTTATATGTGTGACCATTTTGAAAAAAAACCACTAAAATACACGCTAAAATGGGCAAAATTTCACGTTATGTTGTTTCATTTTAAATTACACTGTTTTTATCAATTGATAGTTAATAAGTGAACCTAATTTGAACTACATTATTGGTTCACTGTTATAGACAATTTATTCATCTTTCTTTTGCTGGTTGTTGCAACGAAAAATCTTCAGTGGTTACAAAGTTATGATAAAAAGTGGAATACTATGCGTTCGTTATGCAATTTTGTATTTTTGTTTTTATCTTGTATAGTGTAGTAATAAAAGAGAAAAATAAATGAAATTTATGCTATTATGTGTTTTGTTTTCTCTTCTTGTATATGAATTATCAACAACTACCTCATATATCTATATTGCAGTACCCTAGCTGGAGATATATGCCATCTAAAATGGATATCCAAATAAAGTGAAAAAATGTCTTGTCTGTAGACATGCATTTCCTAGTAAACTGGAAGTGTAATAACATAAATGTTGCATTGCTAAGTTCCTACTCTTTTGTAGATATGAAAACACTACAAACATTAATTTCTACCATCTTTTAATAGAGGAAGAATTTGAAAAAAAATGTCAGAATGTCTTGTCCGTAGACACATGTCTTGTCCGTAGACATGACTTTATATCAATATTGCTTGGCTTTATGGATCTAAATTGTTCCTATGTGTTGTTTAAACTTAGAAATATATTATTTTTGATTAATTAATGGTTATTTAACTGTTCTCATTTTTTGTAAAATTACTTTACAGGAGTGGATTTTAAAAAGTGGCAAATTGTCAGTCATTAAAAACATACCTTATTTTACTTCAACATTTTTATTTCAGTTGCTTCATAACTTAAAAGATAAACTTAATCAAATGAAGAAATAGTATTTCTCTCTCTCTGACTTTATCTTTTGCATTTTAGGATTATCAGCAGATGAGGAAGTGTCTACGGACAAGACACTTGTACATAACATGTATTAAATTCAATTATCTGTCTATCTTTTTAATGCATTTAATTAAATATCAATAAAATGTCTTGTCCGTAGACATTATCACAATGTATTTGTTTCCAATTTCCTCGAGGTTCAGCATCATTTGATAGATAAACATGATAAAATGTATGTTATTTTGTCAAGAGAACATATTCAACTATGTCAAAATTAAGTTTTAATAATGCATTTAATTAAATATCAATAAAATGTCTTGTCGTCCGTAGACAAAACATGTAAATTGTATTGCTAACTTTGATCGTTTATTGTAAAAATATGCATCAAGTTATTTTAATGTTCTATACACCAAAAGAAAGGTGTTTTTTTTTAAGTTTTGTTATTAATAGATTATTTTAGAAATAGTTTGATCAGATCAGAGTAATGATCAAAGAAAGGTACTGTTGATTGAAATAATTGTGAGTTTAACATGTTCTTGTCATTTTTTTTTTCGATCAAAATGTTTGATATTCAATAATTCTAAACATATTTTGTTGTCTTTGTCATTGGCCAAAAATTTGAAACTGGTGACCATGTCTTGAAGAAAACCTTTAAAGAAAATTAGACAGTTTTAAAACACCATTTATTTAATAAAAATATTAAATATTTCTTCTCAAAACTGCATGTAATTATATAAATGCTTCAAGTGTTAGCCTTATGACGGCCATTTTTTCATAATTTAAACCATTTCTGTACCAAAATATCAAAAGGGTTTTTGCCTGATGTGATCTTCATTTTTGACTTAATGTGAAACACAAAATGTA